ATTTAATGGGCAGCATTGGGCACAAACCACAAAGGATGAGATGAAACCCAGTATAACATGCCCCTACAAAGATTTAATTTATCCATTATGGAAAATATATTTTCACACATGCAAACATGGACAAAGGCAGGTTTGAGGTTTGAATTTCCTTTATGTTACAAACTTCCCTTTAATACACACTTAATACCTTTACACAACCCTCATTTAAAAAAACATTCCGTTTTAATCAAAAGTTCCCACCTAACCAGTAAGATAGATCTTTGTCCCTTCTGCTTGACTTTCTGACACCACCTTTTCTAACAGCACTGAATGAATGAAAGCAAAAGGTTGACTCAATCAGTATCTTTACTCGTGAAGGATGGGGGAAACAAACTGGAGGGGTGTTTACATAGAAACCTGCAGTAGTCACTCAACCCCCTCGAATATAATTCAGTGTATATGGTTCATAAGAGCAGTTCTGGCCCTGATCAGTCTCTTGCTAAAATAAGCAGTTTCATGTGCATAACTGCAGAAAGCCTTCTGCTTCCCAAACTCCATGATTTCCAGCATCTTGAACACACAACCCAAGATGAAAGGAGTCAAGTGTATTCTCACACTTGCATGTACTGAGACTTTTAACCAGGTTAAAAAGGTTGGTGAAAATGTCTAAGCAAAACTAGATAATGCTCACTGTAGCCAAATGTAGTCTTTGCACATTGGTTAAAGCATCAGGTAAAAGAGTTCACACATGGAAAAAAGGTTTAGGGCCGACACCGAGCTGTTGGAGTGTGCAGATAATGGCAAAATGTTTGTATATGCAACTTGGCTGTGAAGATTATTACAGAAATGTATGGTGGAGATTCTCAAATCAACCCTCAGGACAGTGTGTGTTTGGGCAGGTTATTCATGGCAGGGCTTGTATTTTTCTTCTCATTGTCTGGGCTTTGTCCTTCAGGTCTGGACGGCTGTCTGTCTCCATTGTAGCTAAAGAACGCTGAAGCTGTTGCCGACTTCTCTCGAACAGACACTCCCACTGATCACTCTCTACAAACATAAAACAGCATCAATTTTATTAGTGAGAAGGTTTCGATCCAAC